CCTTTACCCCCGTTTACTAAAAATCACATCAGCAAGCAGCTTTGTATGCTGATATGAAATCATGTTACATTCATTAGTTAAACAAACATTTTTTTTCCTTTAACTTACAATTACTATTTTCCACTTCCTGGTCATCCTAGGCATTAGTGATGTAGCCCATGCCTAAGAGGTGCTTCCTGTGAAGGCTACATCACAGAGCATTGCTGGGAAATCTCATCTTTAAAGTGCAAAATGTCATGAGATCTCAGGGAACGGCATTTTTTCCCCTAAGATGACAAGCATGATCACATGTCCAGTCACATGTGCCAGAGTTCCAGGAAGTAGGGAGATGGATTAATCTGCCCTTAGTGAAAATGGCCACCATGACAAGAATGGGGACAAAAAGAAAAATAAGTTATGTAAAGGATGAAAGGCACCAATTATCTGTAAGTATATGTTTGTAGATCGCAATTACTAAACATTCCTAAAGGGGCATTTGTGGTCATTTTGAAGATAAGGGTAAAGTTCCTCTGTAACCTCCTCCATTTAAGCCATCTCATGATCATGAGATATCAAACCCAAATTCCCATTTGTAACTATTTGAGTCTTGTTTACTAAATTGATGTAACTATGAATATTTCAAAATCTGGTAGACAAAATAAAGGTCAATAAAGCTCCTGGACCAGATAGCTTATAGCCACGTGTCCTCAAAGAGTTACCCTCTGTTATTTCAAAGCCGATTTTTCTAATTTATAGAAGTTCATTGATGACTGGCATGGTATCAATATTGCCACAAGGCCAATGTGGTGTCTATGTTTAAAAAAGGATCAAAGTATTTATCAAGTAATTACAGACTACAGACCTGAAGCTTAAGACAGAAGCTTAATTTCCACAGTTGGGAAGATATTGGAGTTTGATAAAGCACCACAAGCAATTTTGCTAGAAAACAATATTATAAGCAATAGTCAACATAGATTCACAAAAGGCCGAAACTGTCAAACAAACCTACTTTCTTTTTATGAGAAACTAAGCAAAAACGTAGACAAAGGAGTGGCCATGTATATACTGTAGTATTCTTTGGCAATGCATTTGACACCGTCACAGGCAACTAATGTACTGTATAAGTTAAGGTCTTTGGGCTCAGAAACTTTAAACTGCAAATTGATAGAAAACTTGCTCAAAGACTGTATTCAGAGAGTAGTGATTAATGATTCATACCCTGAATGCTCTAAGGTTGTTAGTGGTACAGCCTAAGGTTCAGTTGTGGGATCCTTACTTTATATTTATAAATGATATAGAGTTTGGGATTAAAAGTACCATTTTGTGCTCACAGATGTCACCAATCTATGCAGTGGAATAAAGTTATTAGATATCTTCAAGCAGACCTGAATGATTGATTGGGCAACTATGTAGTAAATGAGGTTTAATGTTGATAAATGTAAAGTTATACACTTGATCCCTATTAATACACAGCCCGGCATTATGTGTTTTTAATATTTTTTTTTATATGATTTCTTTTGTTTTCTTCATATTAAGGTTAAGATTATTATCAATACACCATGACACACCATGAAGACAATGCCTTAAAGGGACCTTTACCCCCGTTTACTAAAAATCACATCAGCAAGCAGCTTTGTATGCTGATATGAAATCATGTTACATTCATTAGTTAAACAAACATTTTTTTTCCTTTAACTTACAATTACTATTTTCCACTTCCTGGTCATCCTAGGCATTAGTGATGTAGCCCATGCCTAAGAGGTGCTTCCTGTGAAGGCTACATCACAGAGCATTGCTGGGAAATCTCATCTTTAAAGTGCAAAATGTCATGAGATCTCAGGGAACGGCATTTTTTCCCCTAAGATGACAAGCATGATCACATGTCCAGTCACATGTGCCAGAGTTCCAGGAAGTAGGGAGATGGATTAATCTGCCCTTAGTGAAAATGGCCACCATGACAAGAATGGGGACAAAAAGAAAAATAAGTTATGTAAAGGATGAAAGGCACCAATTATCTGTAAGTATATGTTTGTAGATCGCAATTACTAAACATTCCTAAAGGGGCATTTGTGGTCATTTTGAAGATAAGGGTAAAGTTCCTCTGTAACCTCCTCCATTTAAGCCATCTCATGATCATGAGATATCAAACCCAAATTCCCATTTGTAACTATTTGAGTCTTGTTTACTAAATTGATGTAACTATGAATATTTCAAAATCTGGTAGACAAAATAAAGGTCAATAAAGCTCCTGGACCAGATAGCTTATAGCCACGTGTCCTCAAAGAGTTACCCTCTGTTATTTCAAAGCCGATTTTTCTAATTTATAGAAGTTCATTGATGACTGGCATGGTATCAATATTGCCACAAGGCCAATGTGGTGTCTATGTTTAAAAAAGGATCAAAGTATTTATCAAGTAATTACAGACTACAGACCTGAAGCTTAAGACAGAAGCTTAATTTCCACAGTTGGGAAGATATTGGAGTTTGATAAAGCACCACAAGCAATTTTGCTAGAAAACAATATTATAAGCAATAGTCAACATAGATTCACAAAAGGCCGAAACTGTCAAACAAACCTACTTTCTTTTTATGAGAAACTAAGCAAAAACGTAGACAAAGGAGTGGCCATGTATATACTGTAGTATTCTTTGGCAATGCATTTGACACCGTCACAGGCAACTAATGTACTGTATAAGTTAAGGTCTTTGGGCTCAGAAACTTTAAACTGCAAATTGATAGAAAACTTGCTCAAAGACTGTATTCAGAGAGTAGTGATTAATGATTCATACCCTGAATGCTCTAAGGTTGTTAGTGGTACAGCCTAAGGTTCAGTTGTGGGATCCTTACTTTATATTTATAAATGATATAGAGTTTGGGATTAAAAGTACCATTTTGTGCTCACAGATGTCACCAATCTATGCAGTGGAATAAAGTTATTAGATATCTTCAAGCAGACCTGAATGATTGATTGGGCAACTATGTAGTAAATGAGGTTTAATGTTGATAAATGTAAAGTTATACACTTGGAGGCTAAAAATGCCTATGCAAAATACACTCTAGAGCAGGGGTGCCCACAATGTCGATCGCGATCTACCAGTCGATCGCATAGCGATCACTGGTAGATCGCCATGTCCTCTCCTCCCGCCTCTTCTCTGGATCCCCGCTGCTCTCCCCAGCGGGGATCCGAGAAGAAGTGAAGGAACCGGCGGCGGGGGAGGGCGGAGGACGGAGCCGCTGTCACTAACTAATGCAGAGCAGTGAGGAGAGAGAGAGACGCTCGGCCAGGATCTGACAGCCGGCGCCTCTCTCTCCCCTCACTGCTCGTCCGTTCTGTCACAGCGGCTCCGCCCCCCCCGCGGCTCATCGTATCCCCCTCTGCCCGGGAGAGCAGGGGGATCCAGAGAAGTTGCAGCCCCCCTGTGCGTGGACGAGCGGCAGAGGATCGGTACATGTCACTAGTATGTACCAATCCTCTGTGCAGGACAAACACTGGAGCGATCGGCTGATCACTCCAGTGTTTGTAAATAACTGGGGACACATAGTACTATGTGTCCCCAGTTATAAATGAATGAACAGGATGTGATTTACATCACCTCCTGTTCATTCATGAGTTTCTCAATGGGGAGAAGCACTCTGTACAGAGGCTCCTCCCCATTCAGAAACAGCTTGATAGTAAAATATTTTCTTAATGAATGGGAAGCCTCTGTGCTCCCCTCCCCTGCCATCAGTATCCTCCCTCACACACAACCAGGAAGTTTGGGGAACGGAGGATCGCTTTTGGGACCGGCAGCGGGGCGAGCATCGCTGACAGGTAAGTGTGGGAGGGACTGGGGAGAAAAAGGTACTGGGCAGTTTTATACCATAATGCACAGAATGCATTAAGGTAAAAAATGCGCAGACCTTAATACTACTTTAACATTTATAAGTGATACCACCAGAGATTGTTGATCCAGGGAATGTTCGATTGCCTTAGGGAAACAATAATTATTTTTTCCCCTATTGAAGCAAATTGGGTTTTTAGCCTTCCTCTGGATCAACTGTGTGTATAAGATTCTGTATATTGGGGGTTTTATATTTATTTATTCTTTTGTTTTTCTATTGGTTGATCTCGATGGACTTGTGCCTATTTTCAACCTGGCTAATTATATAGCTATGGTAAAACGACCTTTGGGTGCTCAATGAAAACCCCAAAATAGATATTTCTTCTTGGTACAGACTCTTTTATAGTTTAACAAAACTATTTAATAAACTAAAGGAAAGTCAAATTGTTTACAAAATAGATGTTTTAAATGTAATAGTGGCAAACCCCAAATGCTACCATTTGCACTAGAAAAAACTGATTTCATACAAGTAAATTCATTGAGAATCACTGATTTAAACCATGTCTTTTAGTAAAAGTAGAACGTTTTATATTTGTATGTATTATAGTCGAGCAATGGCGCTTACAAACAACAAACCAAGTTCAGAATGAGCATATGCAGTCTGCTTCGATGCTGTCAGAGTACACACAACAGGGCAGGTACTGTTATAAATGCCACTCTGCCATCCCAATGCCACATACCACTCAAAGACAGCTACAAGAAACAGGTAATACAAATCTTTTCCATGTCTTCTTGCTGTTAATTTATGGAACCATAGGTATTTGGCCTTGTCTGTTCCAATCACTGTTTTTCATACACTAACTCCCTAACTACAGGAAACAATGCAGGGAACTGTTATACCATAATGCCACACAATCATGATATGAACTTTGAATAGTGCAATGGGAGAGGAAATGATGGGTGGAGGCTCAACCCGTGGTCCAAACTGTGACCTTGGGGCTATAGGAACCATCAAGAAACATGCAAAAGGATGGGGTACAGGATGAGGGAAGAGGGGGGTGAGGGCTCAGAGGTTCAGGGTTCTGATGGCTGAGAGTCATGCATTCATTAGTGAAGCCCCCTTAGACTCGGACCACATACAAGGCACCCACCAACCCAAGAAAGAACACTGAGGTAGGTACCACAGGGCTGTGCTCTCACCTCAGGTGTACACAGGATCACATAGCACTTCTCACAATCTGCGCTCTCTTCTCCTCTTCCACCACCACCCCCAAGAGACATGGACCCAGAACTGTTGACATTCTACAGGACCCAAAACAAGTTGTCTTTGTTACTACCTGGCCAAAACTTATAATGTACACCCCTCCCTCCAGGCAGTGAAATACAGGCAATTACTTGACTTTGTTATTTACAAACATGCAGGCCTGAGATTTGGACATCTAAACCAGAGAGCTGGTAACCAATTCAAAAAGGAAGAATCGCTGGGCAAGATCCAGCAAGTTCCCAGTATGTTCATTAGGACTTACAATTGCCAAAAAAATTATAACTACTCTATGGAGATGTCTGCTGTATAATAAATTGTATGTGTGCTTGAACTGGTATCCTACCGCAGGTTATTGTATCCTACCACAATTTATTGTAAGAGGGATTTGCTTTAATTTTGGAAAGACTTCCTTTCACTGCCTGTTGTATCTCTAGTAGAGTAAATGATAGGACATTTACACACACAGGAAGCCAAACAAAAAAAAAAATACCTTAACTGTCATAACGGCTTATTAAAGTGGAACGATGTGCAAAAAAAAATGTACATACTGTATATGCTGCAGTCTGTCAGTGGCATCAGCACAGCAGCTTTTGTTCTTGTTAGTGCCCCTGTGACAAAGTTTTATTATCTGTTGATCCTTCTGAGTAGATCTGTTATTTTGCCACTTCCTTAAACTGGGTGTTTGTTCTGCAGTGGAATCACACCTCAGCATTGTCACCCTGAAGGTTTAAGTGGACTTAAGGTAACAGACACACAAATTGAAGCCCAACACAAGCTGATATGTTTTTAAGCAGTTACAGTAGTAACTGCCAATGTAGCTTGTTCCATTAAGGGAAGTGGAAAAATAATGGATCTACTGGTAGGGTGAATAGCTAATAAAACTTTGCTACAGGGGAGATTCACAAAAACTGCTGCGTTAATGCTATTGACGAATTGCACAAAAGTCAATTTCTATTATGACATTGGTTGAGCTTGTTTATTACAACACCATATAACACCAACAATTTACACAGTGCTTTACATATAGAACATTCACATCAGTCCCTGTCCTCAAGGAGCATACAATCTAAGATCCCTATTGCACAAGCATGCAGGGCCAATGTAGACAGGAGTCAATGAACCTTCCAACATGTCTTTGGAGCGTGGGAGAAAGTTTATGCAAGCACGGGGAGAACATGGAAACTTATTGAAAATAGGGTCCTGACCAGGGTACAAACCAGTGACCCCCAGTGCTGCAAGGCAGAAGCGCTAACCACTGAGCCACTGTTTTGTTGAGTTATGTTGACAGCAGCCTACAAATACCTGTTAGCCTTTGTGTTATATTGTGTTTTAGAGAACAGTGCTCCATTTTCAATAATCTATTAAAGGAGAACTATGGGGTCAGTGTTTTTCCCCATAGTTCTCCTTAGTGTAACGGGAGGACACAAACTAGCGTCCTCCCGTTACCCTAAGCTCAGTATACCGCGAGCTACAGCTCGCGGTATACTGAGACCACGCAGCCGAAGCGGATCCCGACGTTTAAACCAAAATCTGCTTTTCAGGCACTATGCCTCACTGTATACAGTTCTTGTAAGAAAAAAGTTTTTTGGTGAGTTTCAAAGTTTCTGAAGATCTTGCCAGTGACAGAATTTTCTGTTGCAGGCTGCCAAAGCTAAAGTAGGGTATACACGGGTAGATTTTTGCATGAATGTTCATATGAAAAATCCAGTTGGAACATTTGATACTGGCATTAGAGGCCCACTGCAATGCCACCTGTCTTGCCCTACCCTACCCTACTGGGAGAATAGATGTACCAGTAGGATAGGGTTGGGCAAGGCAGGTGGCATTACAGTAGGCCTCCGAGGTTTCTGTCTTCTATAAATGTACTTGGTCTTTAGCCTTGAACCCCTCAGTGAATCCTTAACCCTTTGTAATTTCTGATAAACATAGATAAAAGTATATTATTATTAGGTGGCCATGCAACGAAGTTGCAAGGATACCTATTGTATCTGTTCAGATTATTATTATTCCACCACTTTTTTCAAATGCCTGTAACAAGTGCTCTGTAAGTCAAAAACTCATGAAACTTTGCACAATGGTAGAGCCCTGTGCTCTGCAGAGCTTATTATAATATAAAGGTCATAGGTCACGTGCTCTGGCGGCCATCTTTGTTTAAGCAAACCTATGTCTGACAATTTTCAAACATCTGTTTTTTCATAACCGGTAAAGCTACACATATACAAATGAGTATGTGAGGATATATTGAGCTCCACAGTCGTCTATGTGTATTACAAGTCATGTGAATGCATGGTTTGGCAGCCATTTTGGATTGTGCAAACATCTGCAAACAACTTAAACTCTGGAACCATTGATCAGAATAACACAAAACTTTCCACATATATCCAGGGTGACCTCTACTACCACGGTTGAAAAACCAGGCCCGATCCCAAAATCAATATGGCCGCCACAAGCCAATCACTTTGTGACATTGCATCCAATTGCATAAATGTGCATTTATATCACTAGTGAAGTATGTTAAACGTGTTATACATATGATAACTCAACATCATAACTGCCAAATACAATATGGCATCCAGAGGTCACCAAGGTCGGCGGCCATTTTGAATTTGAATTTTTTTATAATTCATGAAATCATGTCCTGTTTTTTTTTTTAAATCTCTCTAACTACAATATCTTTTCATGCACTATGACCGGCTCTACTGCTTGGCCACCTTTATTGCTGCGTGCAGCTATATTTATTATTATCATTTGCTATTCACAAATCAAGCTATCTGTGTGTATTATTCCATAGGCAAGTTGGAATTATGTACTTTTAATTTTGCTGACACACTGGTATTTATCTCACAGCATTATTCCTTGCAAAGCACTCTTTTAGCATATTTGTATTAACACAAGACACAATTTAATAATTTAAAATAGTCAGCTTACTAACAAGTAACACTCTGCAAGCTACAGTAATATTAAATTAACAAGTCTTGGTTTATTTTGGAACATAAAAGTGAGTTACTATAAAATAACTCAGGCATGAAGTCAAGAAGCATGTTGCTGACAAAAGAAGTATTTGAATTCAGCGTACAACTCATATTATTCTTTGGCCTATCGTGTATGGCTACATACATACAGTATGGGCAGAGAGCATATATTCATAAAGGCCTGTTTTTATAGTTTGTATATAAATGCAACACTAAATTTCTGTGTTTTTAACAAACCAATCCTAAACTTGGCATAGAAGATTATTACTCATATTTATTCATTTAATTCACTGCCAAACACTCGAAGGTATATGTTGGAAATAGTAGATTTTCTAGAAGCCAATAGCTGAGGAAGGTGTTACAGCTAATTCCAACTGGCCAGGCACTAAAGAAGAAATTCACAAATTAAGAAGGTCAAAATATCAATCAAAAACCTATAAAAATTAAGCACTGTAGTTATGTGAAATAAACCAATAACTGCAGAAATACAGTTGTTTTACTGACATTTTAGCTATGCTACAGTAAAAAATAGGGTCCAAACTTGTTAGTTAGTGATTCCCATTGTACTGCTAAAAACTTATTAAAGAGGACCTAAACTATGAAGCTGTGGACAAAAAAGGCAGGCAGAGGAGAAAGGAATAGTAACCAGTATTGCCAATACTCTTTCTGAAACTGATCTTCTCCTATTGGTGACAACATGTCTTGTTCCACACTGTATCTCTGTGTGGAGGTAGCCATTTTAGTAAAGAGAGGGCCTTACTTCTTCATGTCAGAGTCTCCCCTCAATGACTGGTGATCTGATGACAGAGGAATAACTGAGCAGCAGCTAGAGAGGTTTGGAAAGCACATATTCACAGAATAGATTAAGCAGAAGACGTCATTACACATGCACGTGACATCATTACCCACGCGTGTAAGGTCACCTGCCGTCGGCCATCTCGGTGATGGACACCGGCTCAGAGAGAAGAGGATGTTCATCCGGCAGGAAAAGTATGCCACCGGGTCCGCTCTCATGGAGCTGTTAGGCTCTCAGTCCATGAGCAAATGCCCAACTTTTCAGAGGGGGTGAAACCCTCTTACGGTGTCACCCAGTGCGGGCCGCATCCCCTTGTGACGCCACTGTGTTTGAATACTGTCAACAGCTGCTAGAGTGGCTTAAAGTATATCTATACCTTAAGCCTTGTTTTTCATTTTGGATGGACTAGGGGAGGATTAGAACTCCTGTCATGTTTAACTGCAGTTGCAAGCTTCATTGAAGGGATTCCTTTACTTCCTGTCTGGTAAAAAGATTGTTCCCCAATTAGGAAGTGAGAGAAATGTCCCCAATCGAGTAAAACCTGACAAGAGTTCTATTCTCTCCGAAACGAATGCCCCTTTTATGCAGGTGGTCTAATTGGTTCCGCCTGTCAGTTTTTCAGGCGGACCCGATCAGACATCCAATGCTAGTCTATGGACAGCCAGGTCTAAACAGACGGGTGTCCATTTACATCGGATTACCTTCTACTTCGTCCAGGCCCGGAAAAACAAACAAAACAAAGTTCCGTTTTGCTGGACCTAATTGCGCTGGATCAGGGGTAATCTGATGTAAATGGACACATATACGTTTACATCTGATTCTCCATAGACCGACATGGGGTCCGGCAGTTTTAGTTCTTTCCTCCATTGCAAGATGAAGGGAGAAAACTGGACAGACACGGATGCCACTGATCCGTACTGCTCTAATTAGGAGGGGATCCATGCACGGATCTCCTCCTGATCAGACAATGTGAAAGGGGCCTAAAAAAATTTGGGTATAGATACACCTTAACTTAAGAAAATTTGTTCCACAGGGGTTTTCTGGAATACAAGTCTAAATTCCACACATGCTGAAAATCTCCAAGTCCTGCTGCTTCCACCATGATGCTCTTCTACTACAACTTTTCTATGGCTTGATAATCTCTTACCTATCCTGCTTTGGCTTCCTATCAAACTAAGAAAAAAATGTATCTGCTTTTCCTTAAGGCATAACTAAACCCAAGGATAAAAATTTTATACATTGCAGCTTAACAGTCCATATACTGTATGTA